TTTGGGGGGGGGGGGGGGGCGATGGTTGGGCGGGTGGGGTGGCAGCTGGCAGGATGGGCCGAGGGGAGGGAAGGGCCGAGGGGAGGGAAGGGCCGAGGGGAGGGAAGGGGCGAGGGGAGGGAAGGGCCGAGGGGAGGGAAGGGGCGAGGGGAGGGAAGGGGCGAGGGGAGGGAAGGGCCGAGGGGAGGGAAGGGCCGAGGGGAGGGAAGGGGCGAGGGGAGGGAAGGGGCGAGGGGAGGGAAGGGGCGAGGGGAGGGAAGGGGCGAGGGGAGGGAAGGGCCGAGGGGAGGGAAGGGCGAGCCACCTGCACACTGGCCGCAACCCAGTCTTTAGCGCAGCATCTACAACTTTCCTCAGGCATCTCCTCAAGCAAGAAATTTTCCAGACCCCAAATGGAACGGAAGTCCGCCAAGACACCGTGAGCCTCCCCTTTTCTCGTCCTCCCCTACCCTTCCCCCCCCACCGCCACACATACACCTGCACAGCAGCTCTGGCCCCCTAAATTAGACTGCCACCCACTGAGTCCTGCTTAGGGTTTCCCTTCCTCACTCCTTTCCCCACTCCCCTGTCCGCTGCGTCGTATACATGCTGCCACCGCGGCCCCCTGTTACCCTCCCTGGCCGGCTCTGAGTGCAGCACGACAACACCATTTCCTTTGAGGACTTTCTTCGAGGTATCCTGCAGCTGGTCCAGGACGAGTTTGGGGACGTATCAGACGGTGATGATGAGGCCGTCGGACTAGAAGGAGCCGCCACCGCCGGCGGCTCAGGTTCCGGCTCGGCCACGCCGTCGCCGCCAGGCGAGGCCGACGGCGCAGCGGCGTCAGGTGGGGCCCCGACGCAGCCGCCGGGCCCCCGCCGCTGCGGCAGCGGCCGCACTGACGCGTCCACGTCCCAGCGTGAGGGCGGCGATAGTTACGGACCCAGCCCCAGTCGGCCCCGCAGCAGTAGTGCTACGGGAATGGTGACGGCAGCAGCAGCAGCAGCAGCGGGGGTTAGGAGGGCACCCAGTCCTGGCTTGGGACAGAGACAGGAGACCAGTCCTGCTCCGCGGCCGGCTAGTGGATTTCTGGCGTCTCTTAGGGGATCTTTCCGGAAATCCGCAGAGCCGGCAACGACGACTGCCACGTAGCTTGCGGGCTTGCGGGGGTTGTATTAGGAGTTACAAAAGGAGCGCCCCAATGGGTGAGCCCGTATGTATGTCTGTGTGTGTGTGCCGGGGCGGGGGCTGGTGTGTGTGTAATGGGTTTGTGGTGGGAGGTGAAGAACGGAGGTGTGGGAGAAGAGAGACGTGTGCGGCACACCCCAGGCTAGGCGAAGTGCACGGGGCGACTCTGCCCTGTGGGTGGTTGCGGCGTTACTGCCATGGCTGGTGGTGATGGTGCTGCTACTGCTGGTGGTGGTGTAATGTGTGCAGCTGGTTGTCACTACGGTGTTGCTGGCTGTCAACACCGGAGTATGGCACAGCGCAAGCACGTAGGACATAGGACGGGTGAATGTGGCGAGGCGGAGGAGGCTAAAGAGGAAGTGGCATCGGCGCCAGAGGGCCGCCGGTTTGGCGGTGGTGGTTCGGTTTGGTGGTGGTGGTGGCGGCGATAGTGATGGTGGTGGTGGTGATGATGATGGGTGGGTGGGTGAAAAGATCTTCATCGCGAGCTGAGTAGTCAACGACTACCCTGTACAGCAATGTGCTGCCCGAGCCTGAGGAGGTAGAAAGGGATGTTTACCTGAGCCCCGGACGGACGCGCAGCAACACAATACGGCAATGTTTATGTTTACACGCATACACATGCATGCATGTATGTATGTATGTAGCAGCCACGTGACGGGTAATTGATTGTATCCGATCGCTCAAATAGAAGGCAATCAATGGATGGACCATCCAGTAATACACCAGGGCCATCTAATCACCAGGGTGTTGCTGGTGCCGGCGGCGGATGGATGGATGGAAGGTCACCCGGCAGGGTGCTCGCTCAGACGCCCCTGTCTCCATCACTCAGCAATGGGAAACACGGCACAGCTGAGCTGCTGCTGCTGCTGCTGCTGCTGGGAGCTCGGATGCGGCGGACTGGCGGCTGGCAAACAACAACAGCAACCGGTCCACCCTCGTGTGTCGGTCATCTTGGAGTGAGTGTGCTTGCTTGGCGTGGCGGCGCTCCACAAGCGTTCCAGTAACGTTCATCATCTTTCCTCCCCCCCCCGGGGTGTGCCCAATCCCTCCCGGACAGTTCCCAGTGCTCAGCTGGACACGGACAACTCAATATGGCAGCAGCAGCAACAGCAGGTGGCGACGACCAGTTCCCCGTGGGGGAATTGCCGTGCATCGTTGCCGCCACATTATTAATCATGCAATTGACTGCGCAGCTACAAATTTCTTTCTTTCTACCGCTGCTGTCTACCCTACCCCTGCCTCCCCGCTTAGTGCTGCAGTTATCTATCCCTCCGTTATCACACTGCAAAAGCTTCATTCACGCCCGTGCTGCATACGTCCCCCACCACGAACTTTCTTTGGTTATCGGTCCGTACCGAAAAATCCCAGCAGCCTCCATTTGCAACCCCTGCTGAGATATCCCGGGAACTCGTCCGACCCCAGTACTTAAGTGTGACGTACTCAATCCACACATGGACAGCAGCAGCTGCTGAATTCCCATGCTGCTCATTGAAGGGGTTCCCCTTCGCGGAGACGAAGGTCATCGGGTGCCTGGCCCGGCTCCTGGCCCGGGCTCCTGACATAGTCCCAGTCCACCGGCAGCCCTCGGCGTGCTGATGCTGAAGGATCTCCGAAGACCTGGAAAGGGACATATTGGTGGTTGAGTTTCTCAGTTATTCCGTTGCTTGGGAGGTAGGCAGCTTACTCGTTTGTGCATCGGCAGGGTTCAGAAACGATTGGGCAGTGCGAAGCGTCCCTTCCTGTCTGCAGTACCTGTCAGGGGACTCCAGCTACTTGTCTGCACGTGAGGTATTGACGACACGGCCTTTGCTTTGGGTGAAATGGCGGCCTGACGACCGGAGACCTAGCTACGTTCGGTTGATGCCTGAGCCGGCCTAACAAAGGTCTGCACGACTGAATGGTCAATCTATGGGAATTTTTTAATATAGCTTTATAAATCTTAGGATGCCAATCCGCTTACTTGGAGCGTTCAGCTTCAGAGCTCTGTTCAGCGTTAATGCGTAGGGCGAAGAACCACAGACGCAACCTTTGGTGTAAGGCAGCCGCATGAGTAATTTTTCAATATAATTATATAACAACGAGCAGCAACCCTAGCAAATACATCACAGTTGAAAGAACCTATGTAGAAACGGCACGTGCCGCGTTTCGACGCATCTCGTAAATGCCCTAATACTGGCATCCTGCGATAAGACGAAGATCCAATAATTCCAAGGTACCTGGTTGTGGGTGTCGAACGCTAGTACAAAATTAGTCAGGATTTTACTTTCTAGGCAGTCATCTGAACAGAGGTAGCCCCACCTACCCTGTGCATGGTGCTGTCCTGCAACCCTAGCAATCCTAGGTCAGCGGACAGTTGTTGAAAAATTAACAAATTAACACATCAGAATTGAAGTAATATTAGATTTTATGTCCTTGGCACGTCCACAGATGTGATTTTTACCGACCGGCGCCCTATGACTGTAACCCTATACATGTATTGAGCTAATTGCATGCCGATTCTACGTCCCATAGTACACTTTTTGATTTGTGATAGTTCTTATCCTTATGTTCTTGTCAATAGTTACTAGATTCAGCATCCATTAAGCAATTCGGACCTAGACCTTACCACGGCGCTGACCTATTTCAGCGAAAATTGAAGTGATTGATCTAAGTATAACTTAGAAATCATTGGGCCGGAGGAGTATGGGCTGCGCGGGAAGCAGGTCTATCCTGCTTGTAAAGGATTCCCCGCTCAGTGAAGCCCTTGAGCGGAGATTGATTGAAGAAATCGTGAGGACAAAGCGGAGAAAATCATTTGTTGCTAAAAAGAGCTCCTTCAACAACCTCATGCTCCAAATGCCAAAGCTTACACTTGGCTTTAAAAAGATTCGGGAGGTCCACGCGGCAATTAGCGGGCCGTCTGGAAAGGTGAGTTAATGCATGCGTGCTATGTCTAGTTCGCACACGTAGACGGTGCTCGTGCTCAGTAGCTACTGCGACACATTCACTCCCATCGACAGGTTACTTGGGCCGCATTTCGCTCCGTGTGCCACGAAAAGTTGGGGCTGGAGAAAAACTCGGAAAGTCTGCGTGAAGTGCTTTCGCTTCCTGACATTGCGGACGGAGTGCTCGTGACGCATCCGGACCTCATTCTTTTATACACGGTACGCGCGCGCGGCACCTGGTGGGACTCTGATAACGTGCTTGAACGGGGTCGACTTTCCGCTCACCCGTTTCCGTTTTTTCCCAACAGTAAGATTTCGCTGCAGCTCTGGCCTTATAAATGATCCCTGGGGCATGGCGCCTCCCCCATCCCAATCCCATCCCATCCCAATCCCATCCCATCCCAATCCCATCCCATCCCAATCCCATCCCATCCCATCCCATCCCATCCCATCCCATCCCATCCCATCCCATCCCATCCCATCCCATCCCATCCCATCCCATCCCATCCCATCCCATCCCATCCCATCCCATCCCATCCCATCCCATCCCATCCCATCCCATCCCATCCCATCCCATCCCATCCCATCCCATCCCATCCCATCCCATCCCATCCCATCCCATCCCATCCCATCCCATCCCATCCCATCCCATCCCATCCCATCCCATCCCATCCCAATCCCATCCCATCCCAATCCAACAAACGGCCACCCCACCCCACAGTCAAACGGGACATTTCACTGAGCACCGCGCCTCTCCTCTCCCATCTCGCCTTTCCAGTCCTCTCTCTTCTTATAGTCGACAGTTGATCTGTGCTTCTTGCAACGTATGATTCCCTTCCTATCTCCCCCCCGCAGTGTTTTTAAAACTTTTTCACCATGGTAATCTTTTAGTGACCAAGTGGTTACTGTGGGGGTTTTCCCTGGTAACCACCTTACAAAACATTTTTCCCCAGCGAGTATGCTGAACAGGAGCCCACTAGAACCATGCCTTTGAAGATCCAACTTCGCAACGCTCATTTACGGCGTTGAACAGCCAAGACGACGCTTAGATATTAATTTCTTTATTTACACGGATATTTGTACAGATGAAAGATTTTTGGCGGAAGTATGTACAGATAGAACCCAAACCATGGCTACTTCTTAAGCAGCGCACACCGCAGCTTGACACGTCAGTTTTTGTTCTGACTTCATGCTAGCGCCAACTTCTCACTGCCCGTGGTGGTCTGCCCGGCGGTAGGCAGCCGATTCGTTCCAGTGCTGCAGTGCTGCTTATTACGGAAAACATTTCGTAGGTGGTCACTACCGGGGGTTCTGTGGCCCAATTTCCTGGCGACCACCTGGTTACTGGCAGGTGACTCAAAACATTTCCTAGTGAACACCTTCTGGAAGGAATCCTTTTTTCAGTAACCACTTGGTCACTAGTAACCACTTTTTTAAAAACATTGCTCCCTCCATTCCCTTCCTGATCTCCTTCCAAAGGTTATTTCCCTGCTGGACGGCAACACCGGGCGTCACTCGTTCACTGTCCCAGAGATTCGCGCCTGCCTCGACGTGATGGAGAAGAGCTTCATGTTCTTCGACTCGTCCGCGGATGGGCGTATCGAGCGGAAGGAGCTGGCGCACGCTATGAAGTCCGGCACCCGGGTATTCGGACGCAAGACCTCCAAGACCCTGGCGGATCAACTGTTCGACCAGGTGAGGGTGAAGTGTGAAGGATGGGCTGGGTTGAAGGGCGGAGTGAAGGGCGGGGTGGGTTGACGGGCGGAGTGAAGGGCGGCCTGGGTTGAAGGGCGGAGTGAAGGGCGGGGTGGGTTGACGGGCGGAGTGAAGGGCGGCCTGGGTTGAAGGGCGGAGTGAAGGGCGGGGTGGGTTTAAGGGCGGAGTGAAGGGCGGCCTGGGTTGAAGGGTGGAGTGAAGGGCGGGGTGGAGTGAAGGGCGGCCTGGGTTGAAGGGCGGATAGAAGGGCGGGGTGGGCTGAAGGGCGGAGTGAAGTGTGGTTGCCATTGGTTGATGCGTTGGGGTTGGGATGGTGGTACGATAGGCGATGAACGTGGTGAGAAGGAAGGGACATTGATAGATCTGGTAAAATTTCTCGTGGTAAAGGCCGGGCGCCGCTTATCAGCTCGAGTGAACAGGTTCCCTGTTCGATTCCTTGTGAGACCTCACTATCATAACGGTCCCAACGAGATTGCATGGCCAGCCGCGGGGTAATGATATTCCCCGCTGGCACATCCAGACCCCTACCTGGTACCTGTCGTACAGATGCGCAAAGGTTTTTCTTAATAAAAAGAAAGTGGCTTAATAGGAGAGTAGGGGTATAATATGCAAGCAACACAATGCCGCCATCACAACATGTATCCCTTGCATCGAGGCCTGGGCTTAGGCGGGCCGGTCTCATTAGGTTACTTAAGAGGAAACTAATCCCCGCTTGTTAACGGGGGAGAAATTCGATGTCTGACTCACACGCCAGCGATTCAGGATGTTTTCTTCACACCGACTTGCGAAGGTTTGTGAAGAACAGGCGCCCATCCCTAACCTACCTCCCCTTCCTCGCCCCCCCGGTGTGTACGGCACTCCACACACACATCGACACCTGCTTATTGGCTGCTCGCTGCAGCTCGACTGGTCACGGGACGGTCAGATCACGTTTAAGGAATTCCTGGTCGGCATGGAACGCATCATCATGGAGACAGCGGGGCACGAGGAGGACGAGGACGAGCTTGGGCAGGACGAGGGGGATTGCGAGGTAAGGGTTGCGGGGTAGAGGGGTGTTTCACATCAGGGGGGAGGAGACGGGAAGATTCGGGGCGATGGGGTTGGGGGGGGAAGAGCGTGGCTGGGTAAGGGGTTGGGGGAGGGAAGGAGATGGAAGGTACGTGTGGAGAGTGCGAGGAGCGGGAGTGGGGTAGTGCTCTTTTACCTTTCCGCTTCCTCAATCTCGCCACCCGCACCGCACCGCACCGAGCAAGGACGTCTTTGGCTTGCTGCTCCTCTCAGGACGCGGATATGGACTTCATTGAGGATGAGATGAAGCCGTTTGAGGTCCCCCAGGCTCCACCACCACCACCACCACCACAGCCACCGGCGGCACCCTTAACGCCGTTACCACCGCCGCCGCAGCGGCAACAGACGGTAGAATCTGAGGACCTGGAACCGGAGCAAGGGCAGTCAGAGCAGCAGCAGCAGCAGCAGCAGCAGCAACTGCAGCAGCAACAGCAGGCTAGGAAGCTGGTCTCCATGTTTGAGGGTCCGCTACTGCCGCCACTGCCGCCATTGGGGAGGGGCCCGGGCCCCGGAGCCATTGATGAGGTCCGGCCCTTCACCATATCGAGCACGGGAGCGGCTTGATGATTTGATAAGCAGTTTGTAACGCTCCTTGCTGTCCATGCAACAGCGACCCCATCATCATCGCGGTTGCTGTATATGCGGTCGGTGCATGCGGTATCGCAGACACACGTATATGTGTGTGTGTGTGTGTGCGCTGGATTTGTACACTGCTCGTCGCGCTCAGTGGCTGTCACATACAGCACATATGGGGTGTGCGCACACGTACGGAGTGAATACGACATGTATGGCGTAGGATAGGGTTGGCAAGCAGTGGCTGTTGGCTCTGAATTTGGGTTCTGTAAAGAGCTCTTCGCGTGCCAAATGGCATGGGATATTCATCCTGACGTGTCAATGTTTCTTTCCTTACTCGGTCGTTGACAATCGTTGTGTTAGTTGCAATAACTGATATTTCTTTAATAGCTTGTTAGTCGCGAACTGCAATAATTGGTCACTTTCTGGGCATCTGCCGGGTTGTGGAGAGCCCCTTGACATGTTCTCTTTTGTGACATGCGGTCATTCGAGGAGAAAGACAGACGGATGGACAGACAGACAGACTGACTGGCGTGTGTGCACGCCGCTTTCTGGTCTGTGGGAAATGTGGTCTGCGGATTTCCCCAGGCCGATCAGACCGCGCTGCGCAAGGGCAGCAGGCTTGGCTTGTTCTCGAGGGCGCCCGGGCATCACCCAGCGTTCCTAGATCCCCCTTGAGACACTGGGACAGGAATACGTACCCCATACCTGTGGACAGACCCGTGGACAGACGCGCACACACGTTTGTATTGTTTTTCAACGATTTCTTGGGACTTAAAATTTCGCTGCGTGCGTATATGCTGTACGCTATCTGGGTCTCTCAGTCTTGTTAGTGTAGTAGCTGGCCGCTGAAAAGGCCTCTCGAGATGCTGGTGGTCGCGCTTCGCGCGTGTTTGTAGAGCCGTACTGTGTACCAGCTACTACAGTTAGCTCGTGTTAGAACTGACCATTGCTGATGATACAAAATACACGCTGTGCCAGTGGATTGTGATATTAAAAGCTTTTTAATAGGGAAGCGTATGAGCTGTCGCGTCCCGCATGCACGTGATTCGCGACACTTGGGTGCCGACGACGTGGGGGAGAGGACGGGGACAGAGATAGATATAGATAGATAGATAGATAGATAAGAGAGAGAGAGAGAGACGAGGTTCGCGAAAACACAACACATGTGCGTAATCGTATACGCTTCCGTACTCAGGCATCTCTCTATTCTCAGCGGAAGGCTAGGACTGCTACTACTACTGCTGTTGCTGCTGCTACTGCTGCTACTGCCCCTCCCCTTTTCCTGTTTCCCCGTCATTATTCCCTGTTCCTTCATTCTCCGCGCCCTCCGCGACACACGTCTTGGCTCGCTTGCAGCCTCCGCCCGGCACCTGCTGCCGCTGCTGCTGCTGCTGCTGCTGCTGCTGCTGTTGCGCCTTCAGATGAACCAGCCGGCTCCGAGCTGCAAAGAGAGACATAAACACACACACAGACACACACACACACAACCAAGTCCCAAAGCATTAAGCGAAGTGGTGGGGGACCACATGCCGTTCAAGGTATTGCAGGATAAGTGGCATATAGGATATCTTTAGGATGAAAATCCCAAAGCATCAGGACCCCCAACCCCAACCAGTTGTCCCGCAGCGGCCACAGCAAGGTCGTGTGGCTCTGCTCTGTGGCTGCTCTGGGACTGCGGGAACAGCGCTGTGTAGCTCCCTATCCGGTTGCTCGTACAACACGATGGGGTCTGGGGTTGTCGGTGTCGTACAGTCGTACTTACCGTTGGGAAGCTGGTTGTGGGTCGAGGACCACAGCCGGGAAGCAGAGCGATAGGAATCCAACACCCGGGTGAACTGCGGTCCACGATGCGGGGTGAGTGAAGGGAGATGTGCGCGTGTGTTGGCGTTACGGTTTGGGGACAAAGCAGGCCACACCAAGTGTGCGGCTGGCTGTGCGTGTGTGTGTGTGAGAGAGAGAGAAAGTTTGTGTGTGTGTGAGAGTGTGTGTGTGAGTGTGTGTGTGTGTGAGAGTGTGTGTGTGAGAGTGTGTGTGTGAGAGTGTGTGTGAGAGAGTGTGTGTGCTAGTGTGTGTGAGAGTGTGCGCGTGAGTGTGTGTTTGTGTGTGTGAGAGAGAGAGAGTGTGTGTGTGTGTGTGCTTTAATGAGCCGAGCCGTGTGTTTGTGCACGTGTTGCAAAGAAAGAAAGGGCTCCACGCGCAGATGTGGCCCCCGTTGCCAGCTTGCAGGCTTTACACAGCTTCGCAATCAGCACGTACACGTACAGGTACATGTGTTTGTGTGTGTTTGTGTGTGTGAGGGGTTACACCTCGGTTGCGTTACCCAGATAAAGAGGTTTAACGAGTGCCCATACACGGTCCCGCTCTTGCCCTCCCGCCGCTCACCACACGAGCAGCCAAGCGGGGGGGCCCCCGTGTACGCGGCGCAGCTGTCCCCACCGCCGCCGCCTCCTCCTCCTCGGCCGCCGCCGCTGCCAGCAGGAGGGCCCTCTCCAGCCCCGCCAGGTCCTGGGCCTTATCCAGAGCCACAATGGTGTTGTAGGAGCGAGTGAAGTCCGTCAGAACCTATGGGGGTGTGGAGGGAGGGAGAGGAGGAACGGGGGGAGGGAGTATACACCTGAGTATACATACATACATAATGCAAATAGATTTAACGCCATATCTTGGCCGCGTGGCCCAATGGATAGGGCATCGCCCTCCGGTAATTCGGGGTATAGGCGGGGATTGTGGGTTCGAGTCCCACCGTGGTCGATGATTTTTAGTATGTGGCTGGCAGAGGTTCAGGCCTAACTTTTGCTGCCGGTCTGTCCGGGTTCAAATCCGCTCGCCGACCTCTCGGGTGTGCGAGAGGCGTTGAAATGGGAGGTGGCCCCCCATCTTGTGGTCGGTGTAGGACGTGATAATATCAACTTGCGAGCTGACCAGGAACTAAGTTGATGCGCCGTTGATCCGCTAGATTTGGTTGGATGCTGGTGGTGAGCTGCTGAACCCAACGAATACATTCTGAAGGATGGGGTGAACGGATTAGGGTGCCCCTCTAGCAGGGGAGAGCAGAACCTGCCTCGGGAAAGGGGGCCGCTGGTAAAGCTATACCACCCTGTAACAACATACATACATACACATCACACTCACCAGGACGCCGTCGGTATCACGAATCAACACCGCCTCTCCACTGAGGTGGCCATGCACCTGTCCGCCGTCATGCAAAACCGCCAGAGTACGGCCCAAAAGCGTGGCCGCGCGATCCAGTTCTGCCGTACACCATACGGGCGATTATGTGCCGGTTGGGTGGGATGGGTCTGTATGTATATGGGTCTCCGTGTGTGTTGAAAAGGCGTCCTAAACCCTAAAACCCTAAGGTAGGACAACAGGACAAATGACTTAACAGCTTTTGAATGAAGGCTTTAAAAAAACAGCTGAATCCATAAATAAAAGAGCCAAAAACATACCAAATAGGGATGTTATTATCTAGTTCTGGGGCTATATATATTGTTGCTCATAAAAATTTGAAAATGAATAAACTTTTTTTAAACTGAAATCATGGCAAAAAACATTTGCATAAGCATTGTTAAAAAAATCGGCGCTTTCCTGCCCGAGTTTCTTACATACGATTTCCCCCCCCCCAACCACCACCACGTTGAGGGAGGGTTGGCGTTGTACGGTTCAAACCCTAGTGTGGTGGCAAAAGGGAATGTCATCGTTAACGGCCCAATGGAAAGGGAACAGACGGCAGCCCGCCGCCTAGGATTGCGCCCCCCTTTACCTTATAGGTTATAAAACCCACCCGCTGGCAGTGGCTTCGCAACCCCCGCCTCCGCCGCCACCGCCACCGTCGGCGCCTCCGCTCTAACGCTTCCAGGTCCCGGAGCAATCCCGGGGTCCAATGCCTCCTGATCCTGCTGCTGCTGCGGGAGAGGTGCTCGTCCAGCTGCGGAGTCCGGGAGCTCCGCCTCCGCCTCCGCCGCTGACGCTGCTGTTATCAGGTCGGATAGACTTCGGCCCGCCACCGCTTCTACCATGGCGACGCCCGTAATCACGTCCGCATGGTACAGCAACGGAACAACTACGCCCAGCTTGTGAGCTCGCAACATGCTCCGGGCAACCTGCTTATCAGGTGGTTTCGGAGGGTTAGATGACGCTTGTGTTTTACCTGCTCCCAGAAGCTACGGGAATTCGTGGAACGTTGTGCTTACCTGACGTATGCCGCCTGGGGCGCTGTCACCCCCATTTGCATCTCCGGCATCATTCGGTCGGGAACGCTTGTGCGAGCGCTCGCTGCTGCCCGAGCCAGCACCCGTTCCTAGCCTAAGGACGACGACAGGACGCCCCAGCAGAGTCGACTGCAAATGTCATGTAGTTCAGTATGGATTGTTAACGAGTCGGGCTGGTTGGAGCAAGCGTGCTATGCATGATGCGCACCGGCGTAGCGACCTTTGAAACACCGATTGTGGCGCCGTTGTCGTTGCAGCAATTGCCAGCGGCTTCATATAATTCTGCCATCTCCTAAGATTACCTAAAGTCTAATTACCACGGAAGTTGAGGTAAAGCAGCTGTGATGAGCCCGAAGTCGTTGCACGAGTACGACACTTCGGAGCCAAGACAAAAAACTTCTGAGAGGATCCTCGACACGGGCGAAACTTTTGTCGCTTGCTTTAATATTGTTTCAAAGACTTCCATCTCGTATCTTGTACTTATATGACAATAACACTGTAGAGAATACCTTTTTGTAAATCTCTCCGTCGGCGTTAGTTTAATATTGGGCAAAACTTTCGGAAAACGAAACCTATGGTGCGTCTGATGTTAAATATCTCGTTTGTGGGAGATGGAAAGCTGCGTATTATGGAGATCTTGGCGGATTGCAGGCTTCGACGGGTGAGAACCCTGCTGCCAAGCCGGCCGAAGACGGTGAGTAACAAGGTGCTGTAGCTTTTATTCAATAGCTTATGTTTTCACATGTAACAACATGTTGGGCATAACGGGGTTATATCGTGTGCACTGAAGTCCGTGCCTCGGGTGTTTATGCCTTGCGATGTCATGCTATTGCTAGCACCAATCTAAGAAGCCAGCCCATGCACCGGCATCTTTCTGGAAATTTTCTGGAGTACGCGTGAGCGTGGAACGTAACGAAGCTTGTCGCCGATGACAGGCGCCGCCGCAGAAACTCCCAATAAGGCGTGGGCTGACGAGGCGGATGAAGACCGAGCCCCACCAGGCTTTGACGGCGTCGGCGATGCAGTCAAGGACATCACGGAGAAGCTTGAGACAGCGGCCAAGGTGTGTGCGTACGGCGCCGGGCGTGCTGCAAATGGGCCACTTGTAAGCAAAGCCCAGCCCAGCCATTCCAAGCGGTGCGCAGCATGTCTACGCCGCATCCTCAGTGAGCTCTGGGAGGTGCCACCCTTGCATCTTATGGCTTGCGGCAATGGCTGAAAGGCCTGCCAAAGACCGGGTCCACCCGCGCAGCACCCAACCAACCACTTCGAGGCTGTCCCACCCCTCGACGCTCCCATTCGCCACCACCAACCGTGGTCACACATATACACACACACGCACACCGCCGCATTAAATCTTATCGCAAACGAAGCCGGTTGCTGTCGTGTTTGGCCTTCTCGTACACCGAACCTCCCACTACACATCAGAATGCTGGCTGGGTACGCATACTCGGCTGACCGGCCGCTAACACGCCGCCTCATATACAGGTGGATGAAGGTGGCACTGTGGATGAGCCCGATGTCGCATTAAAGACCGAGGGCCTGCGCGAGCGGCCAGAGGCGGAGATTACCACAAAGACAGAGGTGAGCGTGGGGACGTAATGGACGGATTGCCGGTTCTGGATGGTTGGTTGGGCCGTCTTTGACGCTGAGAGACAGCAGGCGGCTGCGCTTATTAGTCCTCTCCTGTTGTGACGCCATCCCTGCATGCTACCTGGTCCCTAAGGTCCTGACTGGCCTTGCTTCACCGCTCCCAGCTGCCCATGCGATGCTCTGATCTGCGTCTTGAAACCCCTGAATCCCCTGACTTGCCCAGGGTGACTCCATTTATGACTCGGCTCAGAAGTTTGAGGACCTGCCCCTTTGTCCGGAGCTGCTGAAGGTAAGAGGCGCAGCTGGAGTGAAGCGCGGATGAGGAGGAAGGGGGGCGTGCGGATGAGCGCGTAGGCGGGATCCGATTAGAATGAGGATCTAGGTTTTTGATATTGTGGTCTGGGTATTAGAGTTTGGGAACTTTGGAGGTGTATGGGGTCGGTGATGTCACGTCTAGAAGGTGCTACTGTATTTTCAAGGAGGAATGGTACGAAGCTTTGTTTGTTACGTTCGTCTTGGAAAGTTGTTGGGACTGGGAGGGGCTTCGGCGGGTTAAGGCGGAGTCGTTGTGATGGAGATGGAATAGGATTGGGTTGCTTTGGGCATCCTGGTCTGGGGGCCGAGCTATTGTGTTGCTGCTGCTGCGGCAACGGCTGCTGCTGCTGCAACAACCACAACAGCAACAACCGTCCATCCTGGCTAATGGTTTCGTCCCCTTGTACGCAGGGCTTGTACGTGGAAATGGGTTTCGAGCGGCCATCTAAGATCCAGGCGCTGACACTGCCCATGATTCTGACACCGCCGCACAAGGATCTTATTGCTCAGGCGCACAACGGCTCGGGCAAGACCACCTGCTTCGTGTTGTCCATGTTGTCTAGGTGCGTGCGTTAGGTGGACGCGGGAGAAGCACAGAGGAGATGGAGGAGATGGAGGCCGGTGTGTGTCATATTCAGGAAACCCCAGATCCTGTGCACTGCCGCCGCCACTGTTTTCTGGATCCTTTGTGGATCCTGAATCTCTCTCGCCTTCCCTGCTGGACTTCTCCGCCAGACGGGACATCGATACCTCCTATCCTGGGTATTCTTTCCACGTCTTCATTTCTACATCATGTACTGCTGCTGCTGCTGCTGACCCAGCTGCTCACGGCATTCTTTTTGGACACCATGCTCATTACTCCCGTTCCCCGCCTCCTCCGCCCCTGCAACCGCTTGCCATGGCCGTAATCCGGCTCGTCCGTGGAATCCCATATATGATTCCTTTCCTTTCCCCGGCTTTTACATTTTACCCGCCCTCCCTCCTGCTCTTTTCCTCCGCCCGCTCTTTCCGTTCGGCCCAGAGTGGACCCCAAGGTGCAATACCCGCAGGCTCTGTGCATCTGTCCCACTCGGGAGCTGGTTGTGCAGAACCTCAGTGTGCTGCGGCGGATGGCTCGGTACACCTCCATCTCCTCTACATCCACAGCCAGTGATGGAGAAGGCCCGGGCGGCGGATTCCGCCGTGACCTCATACGGGACCAGGTGGGGACGGTAGTGATCGGTGGTAGTGATCGTTGTGGGTTATGGGTTGTTAGCCATGGGGGCCATTCTTCGTTCTCCCTGTTCCTCCCATGACGCTCTTCAGGTGGTGGTTGGCACACACGGCAAGTTGAAGAACTGGGTTCAGAAGCGGTTGCTTGATTTAGACTACGTAACCATCTTGGTGTTTGATGAGGCCGACGAAATGCTCAAGGCGGATGGTTTCGCGGACGACTCGGTGCGCCTCATCAAGAGCATTCGGAAAAAGAACCCAAAGGTATGCGCTAGGGATGTATTGACTGGCAGGAAGATCTGAAGTGCTTCTTGCTTGACGGGTAGTAATGGGGAGGGGCGGGAGGGGCGATACGAATAGGGGGATGTCACGTGTTTGAATTGTGAGTTGACTTCACCGACGGACAGACTGACTGGTGTACGTGTTGCTTCATGATAAGGTGTGATTTAGGTGGGCGCGTATGTCATTCTGGCGCACACATAGAGCGCGTGCTCTGTCGCCAGGCATGGAAAGTGCATGTCTGTGCTGTGGTGGTGGGGCCGGTGGAGGCGCGTGGCCTTTAAGATAACTTCATTTCTGCGACCGCGTCACTGCAGCCTTTCAATCCGCCAAGGAAAAACTGCCATGCTGCTCGTAAGAATGCCTTTCGCAAGCCCTCTTTCGCCCCGATCTGCCTCCCATCCTGGTTTCCCGGAATTTCAGAATTGCCGCTTTTTTTGGTGTTCTCTTCGGTCCCCCAGCGGTCCCAACTCATCCCTCTGGCTGAACTGGCTCGTTCTTTGTTCTGTTTCTCGTTCTCATCCCCAAGAGCACCCCATTCCACCCCACCCCAAGCTGGTGCTTTGGGCGTCGGCAGTTTGTCTTACTTTTGCATTCTGTCCCCCCTTACTCCACTCCACCCGACCCAAACCGCAGGTCCAGTTGTTGCTGTTCTCCGCCACCTTCAACGACGTCGTGAAGCGGTTCGCGCTCTCCATCGCCCCCCAGGCCAACCAGGTGTTTGTGGCCAAGGAGCAGCTCAGTCTGGACGTCATTGCGCAGTACAACGTACGGTGAGGACGGGTGGTAAGGAGGCATATGCAACCATTTTTGAGCGTTAACGCCATTATCTTGACGGGGTCATGTGAATGCCTAAGGAAAAAACTAATAAGATTTTTGGAACCCTGATTAGAAATCCCACCTACGGGGTGTATGAGTGGGGCTAATATGTCCAAGGCCCGTCCCTGGAAAAGCAAAAGCTGCTCCGCTCGGCACAAGCTAGCGGTACGGGCAATTTAATTTGGCATCATCTTACATCAGCGCTTGCGAGCCGCAGCGGCCTATTCCCGGCTAGATCCCATACCCCAATCCTGATCTCGATTCCGTTCCTGCCGCAGCTGCCCTGACCGCAACGCCAAGACGCGGGTTTTGAAGGAGATGATTTTCCCCAACTGCGAACGGCTGGGGCAGACCATGATCTTCGTCCGCACGAGAGAGAGCGCCAAGGTGGGCCAAGACGTCGCCTCTGCGCCTGCCTTGTTTTTTGTGTTATCCTTTTGTCCACGAACGCGCGTCTGTCTACGCCGCTGTTCTCTGGTTGTCACTTCTCTTCTGTTTCCCACGTGTACCGGCACGCATGCTCTCGTTTTTGATCTCACTGCAGGGCCTTCACTACGATATGGAGCGGGAGGGCTACAAGTGCACCTCCATCACAGGCGATATGCAGCCCGGGGACCGAGACCGCGTTGTCCAGGAGTTCCGAGACGGCACCACCAAGATTCTCATTTCCACAGACGTCCTCTCACGGGGCTTTGACGTCAGCCAGGTCCGTAAACGGGGAACGGTTCGTGCGGGCGGTTGGGTGGGTGGGACCCTGGTGCGTGGGAAGGCTTTTAAGTGTACAAGCGGAGAGAAGAATCGCGTGCAGGGGTTGCGTAAACGTACATGCTGTGTGGCGATGGGCGGTGCGGTGAGCGAGCAACTGGTGTGGGAGGCATCGAATGCTTACCCTGGTCGCTACCCCCTTGGTATGGATTGACATGGGATGCTGCGGGCTTTTGCTAGTATGGGGTCTTCGCACATGGCATACATGTATTTCGCTCCCAACCGCGCGCAACCCCCTACGCATCCTTTGATTCATGATGCTGCTTCCTGCGAGCTCCCCACTTGTGCACTTTTATCACCACCTATCCCTGTCCGCGTCCCGTCCGGGGCCCTGCAGGTAACCCTGGTCATCAACTACGATGTGCCTGTGGAGCGAGATGGCAGGACCCCCGCCTACGAGACGTATTTGCATCGTATAGGCCGCTCCGGGCGCTTTGGGCGCAAGGGTGCCGCCTTCAACCTCATGTGCACGCCACAGGTAGGCTGTTTCGATTAAGACTACCATGCTGAACGTGGTATGCCATGATGTGTTGGGGTGCCCGGTGACGCCGACTGGTCGCGTGTCTGAGGTGAGAACCCCAGGACCCATCACTGCAGTGATGACACACTCCCTGCTGCCCAAGGGACGTATGGGGGAGATTGATGCCGGACGGACGGGTCGGTAGGAGGGTCGTTGGGGCCTCTGCGTCCCTGTGCTCCCCCCTCTGCAGTTTGGCCGGCGCCAGCTCCCTTGCCCGATGAAGGCGCACGTAGAAAATGATTTGTGCGTGTCTGAGCAGCGTTTGGGTCCATTGGGAATGGCTTCAGGACAGCTGCCTCCCGTGATCGGTGCAGCCGCGCCAATTCAGTCTTTGCTTTGCTTCCATACGGCTTTTACTGGCTCGTTTTCACCCATTCTTTCGCCGGCCGTCGGTGAATTTTAGTCCGTAGTCCCGTTAGTTGATTGGATTAGCGCATGGCTGGAAGGGCGGTCATTCTCGTGGTACCGTAGGCTGTCTTGCCTACATGCCGTCCATTTTTCCCTAAACAACCTTTACCTCCGCCCTGTATACTCGATTCGGTTCGCATTCAGGATGCGGATGTGATGACCCGCATCTCAACTTACTTCAAGAAGCCCATTAAGGAGCTCAAATGGGACGACGAGGACGAATTTGTGGACGTCCTCAACAAGACGTTGTAACGGCGTCTTGGCTGAGGAAGAGGGGTAGAGGCCCTAGTGTGGGCTGTTGGGGTAGCGGCACGGTTAGGTATAGTCGTGGAGATGTTGCAGGATGTGGTATATAATATGTGACCAAATCTTCTGGTGTTTCTGTTTTTGAGTTCGACTTACTAACGTACATGTTTTTGGAGCGAGTGAAGTTGGGTCGCGCTGTTAAGTTTTAAAACAGGGTCGCGCGTAGCCTCATGTAGCACGTACTCGGGTTTTGTGCTTTCCCTACGACTGAGCGCAAGGAATGTCTTCTGGTGTATAATTCGAGTCCATGCTTCCACAGATGGAATTTAAGTTTAGAATTCTTACATCAATGGCACAGGTAGATAATTACAAACCATGCCCACATACCACGACCAATATTGCCGTAAAAACACGGCCAGTCATGCCCAAAACCGCGGAACCGTTACCAATAGTTATCAGCTGGTCTTGACATCGCGTAAGCCCTTCCCTATCATACTGTGCAACGTCTTGCGCTTCGGCCAGATCTAACTTCGCACATATATCTTCTGCCAGATCCAGGTTCATCACACAGTGACGATGCATCAGTCTTGTGACCGCTGCCAGGTGGTAGCCAACCTTAACACGAAGGAGGTTCGTCCCGAAATAAACGCTCAGTTCGATGAAGGTCTTGTCTACAATACCGAGGAGAGTACGTGTCGCGTGCCACAATGATCTGGCATGCACCAACAGCCTAACCATCTAATACCCTTAGCAACCCAGAATTGTTGACTTGTCTGCAACGGACTCAGTCCTTAGGACATAACTCTACCATCAATTTGGAGAGTAGTCAAGCCACGCACCCCTCAAGACGCACTAGGTCGGATACCTCTGCTGCCACTCACCGTGTGAAGTCGTGCCTCTGCGAACACGATGGATTCTCGTCCATCTTCTCCCAAGCACAACCATACCCGCCACCCATAAAGCAAACCTACGCAGCTACACATACCATTTTCCGAGTACACCCTTTTTCAGAGCACCTCCTTTACTCCATGCCGAAAACCTTCTTGAAAACCTCCCGGACGCGGTCGCCATCGTCAATCTCCGCAAGGGGGTCTTTTCGGAGGCGGTGGCGCAAGCAGAGCGGGATGACACGGTAAATGTCCTCGGGCGTGACCTCGGTGCGCCCCTCGAAGGCGGCAAGCGCCTTGGCTGCACGGTTGGTTACAATGTCACCACGGATGCCATCCACATTGAGATCAGAGCAGATCTGGGAAATCTTGACGCGGTACTCGTACGAAACCTCGACCTGCTTGAGAAGCTTGCTTGCCTCCACGATGCGGTTTGTCAGAGCGTTCTGACTGGCCTCATAGTCCTTGCTGCACACAGGAAACAGCAAGCCGTGCAATCAGTCTCGGCAGAAAAGCACTGGCACACCATGTTGACAGAGTCGACCTCCTACTGGCGCTCTTCGGTAGCTGCCACAAGGAAACGTCTGAAGGCAGGACATGAACATGCCCAACACTACGAGTGTGGCAACCGCCATAGGCGAAGCCCTGCATCGCGCCTTCCTCAAGACGCGAAACTGGCGCATGCTGGCTGATCCATTGACATGCCGTGGAGTACCGGACAGAGGCGTGTAAGATCACATCACACGCGCCATTACAGATGTAATCGCCCTTACCGGAATGAGGCCGGGTTCTCATCGAAGGTGCCGCGCTGCGACACAATCTGGACACGGAGGCGCGGGTCCTTCACAGTACCGATCTGCGCATGCATGCCGAAACGGTCCAGCAACTGCGGCCGCAGCTCACCCTCTTCGGGGTTGCCTACAAGCGCAAAAGCATTTGGTGTTGGGCGACCCGGTGGATCAGGCGGTCAAAAGGGAATTAAAAGGAAATACCACCGCACGGTACGAGGGAGAAATCAAAGCCGTGTTCTGTATAGTTGGGGAATACCATCAAGCGGCTGCCCGCACACCAACAGCGCGTGGGCAAACCACGCGGATGAGAGTTTTCACTAAACACACCTAGCTGCAAATTTATAATCGAAATCAGTCAGGCAGCCTAAACCTCCAAATACAAACCAAATAGAAGGAACACGATAACCCCTGGCTTGCAAAACTCACCAGAGCCAACCAAGATGAAACGTGCTGGATGGCTGATTGAGATGCCCTCACGCTCCACGGTGTTCCAGCCGCTGGCCGCCGAGTCCAGCAGGACGTCCACCAGGTGGTCATCCAGCAAATTGACCTCATCCACATACAGGATACCGCGGTTGGCCTTGGCCAGCAGACCCGGCTCGAACGCCTTGACACCTGTGCGAATAAAGCCAAGCCAAAATGGCCAAAAGGTGAGACATGGGAGATGCAGCCAATGCCGACGCCTATGGGTGCTAGAGCGCTTGTCGCGTGGCCAGTCGGGACGTGCGACCACTGACCCTGTAACAACTACAAAGTCCCTTCTCCCTGTTGCATTAACTGCATCACCATATAACAGCCACAAGCCCAAGTTCCAAACCTCGGGATCTGAAGTCCCGGATTCGCCTCATCCATTGCGCCATTGGCAAATAACCATCGAACGCAACTCCGCTAACTCACCCTCCGTCAGGGCCTTCTCGATGTCGATGGTACCACACACACGATCCTCAGTGGCACCCAGCGGCAGGTCAACCATGGGAATCTTCTTTGAGGCAACAGACATCTGCTCGCCGGCCTTCACACGGTTGCGAACCTCCTCCGACATGAGCTCCGGGTCCGAGGGATCGGAGTTGAAAGGATCGCTGGCAACGACCTAACAGGAGAAGGGCAAATGAGGGGGGTTGAAAATCAAGACGGCATCATCTCGTCACATGCAGCGGAGGACGCTGCATACGAGAACGCGGCTTTCTTCATGACTATGCAGACACACACTTGCCACAGTTGGTTATGCCATGGCACCTTCACTCGTGATAGGCATCGTCTACAGGGCTGCGTGCATAGAACCTGGAGGCAGGCAGGCGTGAACATGCCCAATAACCCCGCGCCCGAAACCCGTAATGTGTAGTCATTCTGTTTTAACCTAGCAGTGGCCATCAATTCCTGAAGTTTTGTGAACCAGGTGCTCATAGACAGGGGATCTCCCGGAGTGTGGGAAAGCAACGCCGCTATCTACAGGACTCTCGGTTATTTTCCAAGCCAGGAACCCCCGAAGCCTGTGGTATACCCCGTCATACAGCTTGCCTCGTATCGCGCATCTTACCTTCATCTCGGGCAACAGGTCAGCCAGCGCACGGATGGTGGTGGACTTGCCGGTACCACGGTCCCCCATAATCATAACACCACCAATCTTAGGGTCAATCACGTTTAGGATCAGTGCCAGCTTCATCTCATCCTGGCCGACGATGGCCGTGAACGGGAAAATGGGGCGCGCCTGGCCTGTGGTGTCAAACGCGACCGAGCAGCAAATTCTAGTTGGGCCGACCCGATGCTAGGAGCTGACCCTAAATATTAAACAAACACTTACCCAACTCCTTCTCCGGCTTAACCTCGGTCGCAGCCGCAGCCCGGACTGAAGGAAAAAAGTGGAACAGATGGTTACAAGGTTGAGCAACCGCCTAGATCTAAACAAGGATTCAGGTTTAGATTTAGCTTTATCTTACCCTGAAGGGCAGCGCGCTGAGGAACAACAGCAGCGCCCTGCAGGAAGACACATCGCGACGTGTACAAAAGTAAGCAAAATTCTTACGCTAGCGCTAGATCCTTGCCATTAAAAAGTTATAATCTGGGGAATTTAACTTGTGTCCCACCTGAAAGGGGGCAACACGGAGCGTGACCACCGACTTGGCATTCACCGGGACCCGCACCGGCGTGCGGGCGCCGTGTTGTTGCTGGGCAACAACATTGCTAGAAACGGTACGCATGTTGAGAGCCATAATTGCTAGTTTCGGGGTCCGACCAACAAGACCAAAGAATGATACAAGATGTGCCTTTCTTTCGCTCGCGATCTTTGCCCCTCCCTGGCAGCGACGCCGTACATGCAAAGAGGAAAGTATCTGGGAAACTTCCACAACAAAATCAACTTCAAATCACTTAATTAATTTGACTTCTGCGTCGGAGAACTGATTACAGGCTACGCATTCATCTAATCTTGTGCCAACTCCACCAGCCATGGCACCGTCGGCAGTGTTGCGAAGCTGCAATACAGCCAGCACATCTGCATCATCTCCAGCTTTCCGTCCAGCTACACGCAGCCGTGTGCACTGCGTGCGCGTACAAGCCAATGAGGCGTTCTGCCGCGATAAGGTTTCTTCTGTCCGCCAGGATGTTAGCTCCAAGGGCATCAGCTACAAAGTCGCCTTTGTTGGAGCAGGCGGGGAGACGCGCGAGGTCAGCTGTCCTGATAACCAATACATCCTCGATGCCGCCGAGGCTGCTGGCCTGGACTTACCCGCAACCTGCAGAGGTGGTATTTGCGGCGCCTGCGTGGCACGGGTAGCCAAGGGCACCATTGACCCATCGGACATTGCGGATTTGAGCTTCACGCTGTCTGAGGAGGAGCAAGAGAAGGGTATGGCGCTGCTATGCATGACGCGCGCGACGTCAGACCTGACCATTGAGACGCAATCTGACTGGGGCTACTCTCTTGGAGTCGGGGAGTGGAAAGGAGCGACTGGCAAGTTTAGCGCTAAGCCTGATCCACTGGTTGGTGTCAGCTGGAGTGAGCTCAAGAAGCAGTGAGCAGCACTTTGAGCAACGGCGCCTGGAACCTTCTGGCGGTCTTGAGGAGCAAGGGTCAGATCCGGGTTATGTGTATAATTTGCTGTGAAGTAACAAGTATGGGTGGAGAGGGAGACAGGAAAAGCGGACCAGAGAGTTGAATTGTTTGACGGAGCAACGGAACACGGGGACGGAAGGTCTCTGCACTGTAACTTGGAAGGAAGGCGCCAGTCGGGACGAGGTCAGTCATGGAGTGGAGCGTCACCAAGAGATGGTCTGAGAGACGGGTTTTATCGGAGCGATTGTCGTGCTGCGTGCTGTGTTGCTCTTTTAGTGCGGTTTTCGGAGCGTCTTTACTGATCCTTATCAGAGCCGGATCATTACCAGAGCCGTGTGTTGTGTATTTTTCGCGCAGGGTTTCCTGTCTAGCTCGTAGGGCCGTATGTCTAGGTCAAGCAATCCCGAATGACTGCGGATTGCCTGCACGTTGGCAATCCTGAAATACCCGGACAGGTATGACGACTGGATTGTGAGCACTAGGGACTCAATTTACCGGACGATGGTGATAGGGATTCACGCGCACGTGCATGGCATGACGTACAAAGCACAGAGCGTGCATCGGATCGAATGACGGGGTGTGGTCGCAGTGCTGGCATATGCTTTTATGCGTGAGCCTGGAGTGGTATTGTTTTGGTGGCATGGCAGGGTTTGTGCTGCTGCTGCGACTGATGTGTTTGTTTCAGGGTTGAGCCACAAGGGGCTTTTGTAGGGGTGTATGCGCTTCTGCTGCATCAGTTTTCCCCCTTCGTCTTCTTGAAGACACCGGATATGCGTTACCTGCAGCTTTGTCAAAGGCCGTGGCTTAACTGGATGCAGTAACGTTGCTACAACACTTCTGTAACTGAGATTAATCATAATTCAATCAGGATATTGGCTACCGCTAACTGGCAATGATCTTGTTCCGTAAGAAAAGTACCAAGTTCAGTACAGGACATAGGTAGGCGATGTAACACACACACACACACACACACACATGCGCGCGCGCGCGCCCGCAGAGGCGATTGGAGCTGACGCTTCCTTATTTGGGTACTCCTAAGAAAAGGGACATCACGAAAATATAGCTTATTCAAACAAATTTCACAAACGGAAATGGACGGGTTGAATCAATAGGATTGGAATGTCAATGTCTTCAAGAGAAATCAGCTCTATTGAGACATGATAAGCGTCTACGTCACGTCCATACGGCTGAAGAGGATTTTATTTGATTCAATTATTCAATTATAAGCTTCTTGAGTTTGTATGGCCTAAACGAGCCAAGACGCTCATCAAAAGGATCGCATCCTGCTGGCCTGCTGTGACAACTGCTAACTGACAGACCGTTACAGTATTACTGCATAGGTTATCCCTTAGCTATAATTTGGACATCAGCTGTAGTATCTGCGGTCGTGTGGCGTTCCTGAGCTGTTGGGCCGATGCATACAAGCTGGTAGCGGACGTGACCTGAATTCACAAAAAAACATTATTTCTTCTTAGGTTACGCGATAACCTTGCATCTTGTCGAAACACGTTATCTGTTGCGTTTGTGATCCAGCGTAGCATTTCGTAACAGTTTCGCTCGTTCCGGGAAAAAAATGGGTGGGACAGATTCGCAGGAGCACCTGCCCGGACACCTCAGCGCACGCGCTGCTCGCGCGATTCGGCCTGCCTTATCATATTTCAAAGCTTTTATCGAGGCTCAGGCGCGTATATGGTCTCCAGAGGACCCTGATGGCAATATTATCCTCAGCGTGGCGGAGAACCGTCTAACTTCCGACATGGTCAAGGTGTGCAAGCATGAAAGACATACGTGCGTTTGGTCTCAACACAAAAGCCTATGACTGACTGGTTGGCCTCATTAGGAAGCCTTACGCAGCTCAGAGCCGTGCCCTCTAGCTCAGCCCACATCCTTACTCCCTGATGGCTGACTTCCTCCATCCCCCTTCCCCTCCCGCTAAACCTTAACATACTGTTCACCTACACGTAGACATAAAACCTGCAGCCGATTCATGCTCCTCTCCTTACGTATACCTGCCTCCATGTTGCGTTTCCTCCATGTTTCTCTCTCGCCTCCCTCTCCCCTTCCCCTCCCTCTCACCGTACCCCAAACACCACCTTCCGCAACCTCCGTGCCGCTGGCCCTGGCTCTCCCTCCCAAGGAGCGCTTACATCTCTCTGCAGCTGACTTCCCCGAGGATGCCCTGTGCTATGCGGACATGCGCGGACTCCCCAGACTGAGGGCCGCACTTTCAAACCTGCTGGAGTCCACCTTCATGAAGGTGAGTGACGGGGGAGGGATCACGATCTTCTCAATCTCCCAGTAAGGGCCCCAGAGGTCCCTCCTGACTTCGCGCGGGCGCGGGTCGATCTGCTGTCTCCTCCCCCCCTCCCGCTGACCCCCTCTCCCGCTGAACCCCCCCTTCTGAACCCCGCTCTCTGGGTCCCACCTCAGGGCATCTCCGTCGACAAGGATGACCTGACTGTCAGTGCGGGGGCTGGGGCGATCCTGGAGAACCTCTTTCACTGTATTGCAGGAGCGGGTAAGTCTAAGGGGCGGTCGTCTAATAGCTATCGTGTACTCCGTACATCATTCATTGCCATTGCCATCATAATCCAATACAATACGTAAACGCCGTTTTTCTGACGTTTTCCGGCTTCAACGAGCTCCGACTCTCCCCGTGTCCCCTTTGGTCAAACCCAGGCGATGCCGTACTGATTCCTGCGCCGTACTACCCTGCCTTCGACAACGACTTGCAAGTGAAATGCGGGGTAAGACCCTGGCCCTTCCAACTGGACGAGGACCGACCCGTGGGTCCGCAGCTGGACGCAGCGGCGGAGGCCGCCGCGGCCGACTGTGCCGCCTCTGCTGTTGCTGCTGCTGCTGCTGCTGACGGGCTTGTCAGCTGCGGCGATGGCCATCATGGCCACCGCCGCCGCGTCGCAGCCTTGCTGTACACCTCCCCCAACAACCCACTGGGAATTATGTACCGGCGGGAGACGGTGGTTGAGATGTTGCGATGGTGTCTGTCGCGGCGGGTGCACCTTGTCAGGTGGGTGGTAGTGGGTGGTAGTGGTAGTGGGGTCATTTCCTCTACCGCACACAACTCGCTCCAGCGAACTGTTTGGCCTATTTTTTAATTATAGAAATAGACATCGCTGACGAAGGAAATTTCATGTGTACGGCAGTCATGTGCCGTCTGTCGTACCTTGTTGCTCTGCAGTGATGAGATTTACGGCAACAGCGTGTTTGCGGAGGGCCAGTCCTTCACGAGTGCGGAGGTCGTGGCGCGACAGGAGGTGCCTGGTGTGTGTGCCATTAGGTGGAGGAGCGAGGGGGGGGTGGGGGAGCGAGAGGGGGCTGGGGGAGCGAGAGGGGGGTGGGGGAGCGAGGGGGGGGTGGGGGAGCGAGAGGGGGGTGGGGGAGCGAGAGGGGGTGGGGGAGCGAGGGGGGGGGTGGGGGAGCGAGAGGGGGGTGGGGGA